GGGTATGAATACTTTTGCAAACCACTGTATATTCATCCACCGAGTTGATGTGATCAGTGAAATGTTGGACTTCCTGGGCTTTCATTTTAACCCAGGTGTCGTCAACATATCTGAACCAATGGCTCGGTGGCACCCCTGAAAAGGACATCAAGGCTCTCTTTTCCACTTCCTCCATGTACAGGTTTGCAACAATAGGAGAAACTGGGGATCCCATYGCACACCCATGTTTCTGCCTATAATATTGCCCCCCTTACGTAACCTACTTCATGTACGGGGGGCAATAATTTAAAATATTTCAAATGAGAACGCCTCCAGGATAGGAAGTCTTCTGTTTCAGAATAAAAGTCCAGTTGTTTTATTTTTTTAACCGTTTTTTTATTTTTATTTTTTTCAGGTCTGAAGGGACCATTGTCCTGGTCTGCTGGTCCTGGTTCAGGTCTGCTGGTCCTGGTTCGGTGGTTCTGATCCTGGTTCAGGGGTTCTGATCCTGGTTCAGGGGTTCTGGTCTGTTGGAGATGGGATTAAAGAGGATTTGTCAGGCTGTCAGGAGGATTCTGACGACGTGGTTTTCGTGGTTTCAGCTCAGCTCTCTGTAAATAAAATATGTTTATTTTAAACTCTTTAATCCTCCCATCAACACAGGTGTGTTCTGTCACTTTAATCCATTCGATCCCAGCCACTGACAGGCTCGTCACTTTCTGTTTCTTCTCTTCTCATTATAAAAGTTTCAGATTTGGACTTCACCTCATGTCTGAATGAGATCCAGCACCGAAGAAAATCTGTTCCTGGTTGCATTTTTTTAATTTCAATCAGACAAACAATTGAAACAATACTGTGTCAAAAACACACAACACAACATGGTCAAATGAAAAGGAGCAGAAAGAAGAAAACAATCTTGTAACATCTGCCCCCATTTAAAATATATATCCACAAAACATACAACATGCAGAAATTTAAACGCAACTTAATTCACAATATAACTTCAAATAATCAACAAAACAACATCACAACAGAAATATCAACTTCAACTAATACTTTGTTCATATCTCATTAATAAAACTTTTAAGCTTTTTACCAAATGAATAAATAGTTTCAGCATTTTGAAGGTCGTACGACAGAGGTGCATCTCTCCTTTAAACTAGTTTTAATTTTTTACAAACATTTCAAGTCCCTTCAAATTATAAACACTATCCCTCTTAACAAACTTGGATTGTATATTAGGTGGTAATACATTTTTATGAGCCTTAAACATAACCAACAGAATCCAGTCATCTACCAGTTCACTAAATGTCAACAGTTCCACTTGTTTAAACCGTAGAAATGTTTTCTTGTTACGATTCTCACCACACGTTTTTGCAAAATGAAAAGTGAATTTGTAAATGTTATTCTGCCAAACTGTCAGAAAACTAAAGAAAAAAGTTAAAAATCAAATCAAAAGGTGCAACTTGATCCGTATGAGTATAAAAACTGTAAATATAAACCAACAAGTTGTCATTATTTAGCTCATTCTAAGTATAAAAAAATTCCAGACATTTTTTTAGCTCACTGTTCATTTTTACTAAATGTTAAACTGAATTTTTATTTATAATGTTACATCCTAAAAATAAATATAAAAGTTTAATCTTAAACATGGCAACTAAAGTCTTTCAGAATGGAATACAGCTTTTCAATTCAATTCAAAAATACTTTATTGATCCCAGAGGGAAATTAGGTTTTGTTGTGACATCATCATCCTGTGACAATAAACTGCTAACTCTGCTGATGTTGCTAAAACTGCTAACTCTGCTAATGTTGCTAAAATTGCTATCTCTGCTGATGTTCCTAAAACTGCTAACTCTGCTAATGTTGCTAAAACTGCTAACTCTGCTAATGTTGCTAAAACTGCTAACCCTGCTAATGTTYCTAAAACTGCTAACTCTGCTGATGATGTTATTGAAGTTTTTAATTCAAAATGTGTTGAAAACAACAGGGACGGTATCTGTGAGCCGACAGCTCGAAGTGCAGCGCTGACACTGGCCGCAACTATTAATTTATTAACTATTACTATTATTAACTTTTAACTATTACCATAACTATTATTTAACTACTACTATTAATTATTACATAATTAAATCTTACATCCATTTGCACAACAATTTGACTGAAAATGCAAATAAAAGATGAGAAGTTCWGTGTTTATTGACCAAAGTWATGAAGATGTAATTATGTAGTATTTGCAACATGACAGTTATTACAAGTATATTGATTAGGATGAACAGAAATACTGGTTTTTGATTGTTTAATACACAACGCACCAGATTATTACACCAACACATTCGGTAACAATTGCCGCAAAATGAAATAACGTTATTACAAAATGCGTTGAAGACTTTTATTACATTTTACGTCAATTATTACATAATGTGGTTTTAGCGTGAGTTTATTACATTTTGAAGCCCTTTTTTCACGTTATTACATAATGTGTTGTTATTACAAAATGAGGTCTTACAAATCATTTCTAGGAATTCTAGGCGTTCACCATCAGAACCAACTGATCCGATAAGATTGTGTCACGACTGAGCTACAGAACCAACAGCTCTGTCAGCAGCTGACTTATTATTTCTCATGTTGACTTTGTGCTTCGATGTGAACTCTGCTGACTTTTGTTTTTATAAATGTGAAAAATAAACAATGTCTGAGTTCAGTTCGAGCATCTTCAGTAAACTTCAAGATATCACATCAGATATTATATCTGTGTTTTATATCACATCAGATATTATATCTATATTTTCTATCACATCAGATATTATATCTATATTTTCTATCAGATCAGATATTGGGTCAGGGTTTTCACTGTGGTTGGTTAGCTGTAGCAGCCATCTAAAATTATATTTTTCAGCAGTTTCTCAAAAATTTCTAGTTTTCTTTATTTTAAAAAAGTTTATGAAATCAGGCCTGATATAAAATATTGTGTTATACATCAAAATGTTACCTTCTAAATATTCTACAAAGATTAATTCACAACCATAAACTCTGGTTTTATATGAAAACACGACTTTATGAGTTAAAAAGCAGCACTTTTACAGAAAATGTAAATATTTAGTTCTGTGCTTCCTATAAATCACCAGCAGGAGGCAGCAGAGCTGAGATTTAAAAACCTTCCCTCTGCAGTCAAAAGAAAATGTTTCATTTGATTATTTTAGTTTAATTTTAGTCAAACAAAGGCCTTTTTAGAATGGGCACAAATAATGTTTTTAAATCTGCTCTAACAAAAATTAAATACATGTTTTCATGAACTATAGGGCTCTGGTCAAACCTAAAAATAGCTCCAAGTCCACGTTGAACATGAAACTTCCGAGGTACATGGAACGCAGCACCGTTTCGTCACCGCCTGTTTTTGTCGGGTCCGCTCCATTTCTGTCCGCCGGTGGACAAACCGTCTGCTGTTGAACCCGAAGAAGAAAAACAAGGACACTTACAACTTGTAAAACTTATAAATGTGTTTTTATAGTGAGCTCCAGACGATCTGATACGTTTTTACATTTAATTTTATTTTACGTCATTTAAATGTCGTGCTTGTCCCCGCCTCTGTGGAGCATCACCGGCGTGTGCGGGCGGAGTGACCCGATCACGTCGACTCATGTTACCAAGGATGTAAATGGGAACTTTGAGTTTTTATTCTTTTCTCCTGGAAAACCAACAAAGACAAACGTC